TTAGCAGACAAAGTAAGTACAATTTCGACTTTTTGTTAACATATCCATACTCAGGGTAGGGTTTTTGACACTTAAAAAAAAAACAAAGAATTTTTTCCAGAGTTTATGTCTTGCACACTGGGGGGGGGGGGGGGAGGGGTGTCATATTTGGAAGCCGGGAAGTTGAGGGGTTAACCAAAATGGTTAACCAACCTAGAGTGTTGCAGCAACCTAAACCTACCATGCAACGCCGCAGCTGCCTGCACCCGCACATCATTATCAGTGGCTTGGACGAGCAGGAGCACGTACAGACAACACACGTCGCACGACTCCGGGTCAAAATAATCATCGACCCAACAGGCAGCAAGACGGAGGCAAAACAGGCGAGTGTCACCCTGAGACAAGGGGACAGAGCAACCTTCAAACTCGCAAGACGCGAGGGAGGGGGGAACTCAAGGGTCACATCCATCGGACCACGTAGTTCCCAGGGCTCTTAGTCATGGATACACAATAAGGGAAAGCCCAGGCAGGGTACTGCGAACTGGCGCCCAAGTCTACCAAACAAACTGCTAAAGCTGAACCCCCGGGACGTGTCCACTCACAGGGGCCAAGCGGGGAGGACCACCAAACACACAAATATAGACATACAATTACAGTGACACCTCGATTAACGAGTTTAAACCGTTCCGGCACCGAGCTCGTCATGTGGAAAACTCGTCTTGTGAAACAACAACAAAACTGTTGTAAAAGGTGTTCGAGAACCAGTAGAAATGCTCATTAATCGAGGAAAAGCTCGTTAGTAGAGACAAATGTTCTGAGAGTGACTTGCTTGTTACTTGAAATGCTCGTAGATAGAGCCGCTCATTAATCGAGGTGCCACTGTATATATACACCCCAAGAACAGCGATGGGGGACCACAATTTTTTTGCTCGATTAATGAGCATTTCTACTGGTTCTCGGACACCTTTTACAACAGTTTTGTTGTTGTCTCACAAGATGAGTTTTCCACATGACGAACATAAAGAATATTGTGCGAGGAGCCTATGCTACACTTTCTAACTTCAGAATTGCTTTTAAATACATGGATGGCGATATACTAAAGAAATTGTTCACGACTTTTGTTAGGCCAAAGCTAGAATATGCAGCGGTTGTGTGGTGCCCATATCTTAAGAAGCACATCAACAAACTGGAAAAGGTGCAAAGACATGCTACTAAGTGGCTCCCAGAACTGAAGGGCAAGAGCTACGAAAAGAGGTTAGAGACATTAAATATGCCAAAACTGGAAGACAGAAGAAAAAGAGGTGATATGATCACTACATACAAAATAATAACAGGAATTGATAAAATCGATAGGGAAGATTTCCTGAGACCTGGAACTTTAAGAACAAGATGTCATAGATATAAACTAGCTAAACACAGATGCCGAAGAAATATAAGAAAAATCACTTTCACAAACAGAGAGGTAGACGGTTGGAACAAGTAAAGTGAGAAGGTGGTGGAGGTCAACACCGTCAGTAGTTTCAAAGCGTTATATGACAAAGAGTGCTGGGAAGACGGGACACCACGAGCGTAGCTCTCATCCTGTAACTACACTTAGGTAATTACAAAGGCAGACCCCCCTACCAGGCAGAAAACAAAAACAAAAGAAAAAACCCTGCAAGAGGACAACGTACCCAGGTGGAACAAAGCCGGCCGCTGTCATAGGTGAAAACTAGCTGTGCAGTACCCCGCGCCCCTGCCAGTGACGAAAACTACCTCTTAACAGAGACAAACAAAGGTAAGAAAAACCCCAGCTGACCCCAAGGATGGCCAAATACCGAACAGTAAACTGTACAGCGGAGGTAGATCCCGAGGTGACTTGTGGAAGGTGGCCCCAAGCCCCAATGTCAGTACTTCCAGGGCACCTAGGGAAGGAGACCATAGGAGCATGCAGCCCGAGTACCGTAGAATAACACTCACGGCTCACGCACCACCTGAAGGGACAGCCCACACCACAAGGCACAGAGCTGTAACAAAAAACTGGAGCCAGAGGCACGGCTGCACCAGATTCCCATCAGCCTAAGAACTGTAGGTTGGGTCGCCGACGGTTGGGTCTGGGGCTCCCCCTTTTCCCTCCCGGGGAGGCGGGGTTGTGCAGACAGCGGTGCGGCGACATGATGACGTCATGCTCGTTTGCTAATTTTCGTTTGGAGAGTTCTGTCCACTTGTTCGGTCTTCGGTCGCAATAGTTTTACCAGAATAGAGGGTTTGTTTTGGAGCGCCTATCTTTCTGGGTGCCTATCCTGGTCGATGGTAGACATAGAATGCTCCCAACAATAAGGGGGTGTCTCTATAGGCCATTGCTCCTCGTGGCTATCTAGAGGGGGGCCAGGTTCAGGCTTGTGATCCCCGGTAGGCAAGAACTCCATGCATTGACTGATGCCAGAAAGTTATACATATCCATTCAGCCTGGATAGCTCCGGGGAGCCGACGGGGCTCCCCCCAGAAAATATATAAATAAAAAATAAATGTATAAATAAAAATCCAGCACTGAATGTAATGAAATGCCTTTTTCTTGATCAGCCCTGGTGGCTCCGTGAAGCTATTTTGCTGAGATCACTATGCAAATGGGTCATATCAGACACGAGAGATCTGTTTGGTCTACTAGGAACCAAGACCAAAATCTATCTGGCCCCTTTCACACAAGGACAAACAGGAGAATCCACACCAGGAGACACTGATCAAAGCAACACATGACCGACTAGGACCAAAAACATTAACTAAATACTGGGTTGCCAGAACCCTGTTTGAACACCAAAACCTCCCAACCCCGAATATCAGCACAGTACATGTTGGAGAAAAGTGTGGCGAACACAGGCATACTTGTGAACATCATGGGCCCAAGGGTAGACCTCAGGATGGCTACATTTGATGACACTGTAGATGACCTGGGAAAGATAAGCCTTGGAACAGGACACTACCGAGGCAGAACCAGTGACCTGTAGGGTATAGGTATAGCTGACACCATACATAAGAAGTGATGTACTCCCAGCTGGACTAACCAAACATCAATCACCAACAGACATCTCCAAAAGCTTGCCAACTTGTTTTTTAGCAGAAAAGAGGGAAAAGGCTGCAAATAAACAAACCAGCCACAAGGGCCAAAGAAACAAAATCCCTGTCTCTGGAGTAGAACTTGCAGCTCCCCAACCCTACAGCCAGAGGCAAAAACCCACAAAACACAGCTTTGAAAATGGGAAATAGTAAAACAAGGTGAGAAGAAGACTAACACCGATTCAAGATGGCTCAGGAGGAGCATGAACTGGCCAGAGGTGAAAAAAAATAAACACATGAAATCTTGCAGAACGCTGCCAAGGAAGAGTTGATACTAAATACAAGCAACAGCGGCTCTACCAATGCCAAGCGATAAGATGCTCCAACTCTGAAACCCTCAAACACTTTAGAACCGTAACCAGAAGTGAGAATGGAGGAGGGAGAAGAAGACCATAAGCAGGACAAACCACACTCACAGGGGAAGAAAGAAAAGGCACAGAATTAGTCCAGGTGGAGATCACCAACACCTCCAATTCCAGATCCCTAAATACCAAAGGGGGCAACTTTGGGGAATCCAACTGATTACAATGCCACAAACTCCTAACTCTAGCAAACCTAGCTTGCAAAGCGGCAGCTGCCTAAATTCAGAATTTCTGCTAATGCAGAAAGCTGCCTGCATTGGAAGATGAATCAGTCAATACAGAGACCCTGAGGAAATAAACCACACAGGATTCAGAGTTGTATGTGTCACCGACCCAACAGGCAGCATGGCAGAGGCAGAACAACAACCATTGTCAGGCAGCAAAGACAATGAGCACCCTTCAAACTCGCACATGACGAGTGCAGGCTGGATGTGCTGAACCAATCACGCCAAAGACCCACGGGGGGATTACCAGGGACTGAAAGCAGTTAGCCAAGCAGGACACCAAGACACTGAGGCTGCTTATGAGAAGACAGATGCCAAGCACAGCCAAAACAACCAGGCTACAACTGGTGGCCATGACATGTCATAACATGCAAGCCCCATTGCGTCTCGGCACAACCAACAGAATGCTCCCAGTCAAGGGCCCAAACAGAGTAATCAGACTCTCGTGAATAGCCCTAAGCAAGGCTATAGTGGCCAGGCCCTGGTGGCCTGGCATCCTAAGGCAAACTTGCAAACACACCAAAGAAGACATTTTTGTCAATACAAGATTAGCACTAATAGGCACCCTGGGAAGGAACCCAGGGTGCAGCCAAAAGCACAACAAAAGCCAAGTCCACACACCGAGTTAGATAGAAAACATGCACATGAGGCAAAAATTTAAATACAGAACATAGTACAAAAGAAATGGCAGGAACAAACCAGCACTTAGTTTGAAGATGAGGGGCTTCCCATGTCTAAAAGACCCGGAACAGTACAACCCAGCTGGACATCAACACGTGAACTAAGCAAGAAGATGGCTGTGTGCAGAAGCTGTCCCGCCAGGTGGTGGCATTCGGTACCCTGCATTTTGTGCTAATTTTGAACGTTCCTCTTGTTCTGTGTGAATTGTTTGCGGAGTTGTTTGGCAATTTCAAGACTTAGGACTCTGTTATTCCTACAGTTGTCTATAAAGCTTCTCTGACTTTTGTGGATGCTTTGTGTGTGTGTGGTGGTGGTGAACTGCCACGTGCTCTCTGCATGTCTGTAAGGGGGGGCCATGTTTTGGCTCTAGTCTCTGGAAGGCCACACACAACTCCCCTTCTGATGTGACTCATTTGCATGGAATAATCTCAGCAATATTGCTTCAGGGAGCCACCGGGGTCTCCTCTAGAAAATAAAATAGATGTAGATATTTTGTGCACTTTTTGTAACAATAGAGTACACAAGTTTTGGCTCTACCTTGTGCTCTTTTTAGTAGTTTGAAAACCAAACTATGACTACAAACAATCAAACGCAGGTTTAAATGCTGAGAGTAATTCGTAAGTTTCAGCACTATTCCTCCATTACAATGCAAATGAGATACCTTTGAATGATAAAGAGTGGAGTGTTGTGAGAAGCTCGGCCATAAGTTTTCGGCAGGCTGGCGTCACACCACCCAATTCACCACTATTAACACCACTTTTCATTGCTTGAAGAATGCACATCTTCATCCACACTGTAGTCTTTAGCACTAGAAAATTCATTAATCATTTTCCACATGAATGAATTAAAATATTAACAAATATTCATTCACTAGGAATTACAGATATCATGCAACTAGCCCTCAGTCTTAGGTTCAATAAATTATTGAACACGAAGTTTGGAGACGACATGAACAATGTCATTAATTTATACGTATACACATAAACAAGGTGCAATCAGTAAGTTCCAGGATTGAATATACTACACGAGTATTAAGCATGGTAAAGCACATAATCAGAAATCCTTTTATGTGTTTCCAAACAGCCCTTTAAAGCTTGTTGTTGAATGGTTACTTTGTAGTGGTGTGCAGTAAACATGAAGGCTCTACTGTTTCTATGGTATTACAGTATCACACATCGTGTCGAGGGCCTGGTGCACTCCAAATTTCTTACATGTCAAGAAGCTAACCAGCCGCTATTTGTGCACACAAATGTCTTGCAATATCACAGAGAAAGTGTGTGAAAAGGAGACTTTAAAAACCAGACTTCCACCCCAAGAGGCCATAATCGTGAGATGCATCGCACATCACAGGAATACCTGCACTCTCCTCTCTACTATGCACCAATGGAATGAGATCATGTTATATCCTTGTATGGGTCCCATGACACTGTATTTGATATGCAATAACAGTATACTGTAGTAATATTTAATTCTTGAGAACATTCTGGATCCCCCCAAAATACACATGCACTGTATATACCACCAAGCACATAGCCAATATCAATCAAGGAAAATTACAACCTTCCAACATGGGTGAGAATCCTAATATTGTCAAACATGTGGCATGAAACTTAGTAAGCATTTATTAGCTATTCATAGTAATAATCATTGTAATAACTCAAGATTTTCTCATCACATGGCCCAAAGTATAACACAGCAGATAAACATAACTCAAAGCCCAACACCTGAGGATATGTTTATAAGCAAGATGTACATGGAGAGTGAGCATCCTGTATCACAGAAAGGAAAGTCAAGCTGCTTAGGGGTTGTGAACCTGTTGTCCACAACGGGAATCTCTGGGATACGCATACTTTTAGGGTCTAGGGTTACTTGTGCCCTTAGAGTTTAGGTTGTACGAGTATGCATACCCTTCAGTTCTAGGGGTATGCAAACCCCATGATGAAAACTTTTGGATTAATAGACAGGTCTTATGATGATATAAGGAGTACAGAAGAAGTACAAATGTTTGTTAGCACTTATAAGATGGTTGTCACCCTTGGAGGAAAGTCCCCAAGATAAGCCAATGCATCAGATACTGTGTAGACGAACAAATGGATACTGCAACTATCCATTTGTTTGTCTAGGTAAGCACAACTAGGTTAAGTACCAGGTGATGCCCATGTCAACAAACGCTCTGTCATGAGGTAAATAAAAGCCCACCAACACACTAGAGCCTGTGACAAGCACGTAATGATAAGCCACCACAGCTGGACATCACAAAATTATATACCCCGGCTGGTCAAACAAAGCATCAATCACCAAGGGACCCTTCCAGGAGCTAACAATCTTATTCGTGGCCAGAAAAGATGAAGGCTGCAAACAAAGAAATTGTCCAACAGGGCCAAAAGAACAGAACCCATGCTTCTGCAGGAGAGCCTGAAGCTTTCCCAACCAGGCCACCAATTTGGGAGACCGGGCCGCAGGGGATGTTGATCCTCGGAGTCATCAAAAGGCAAAGGTAAGGTAAATGAGACCTGTGATCTTCTGCAAAAGTTGTCGAACGTGGAGTTGCCACATACCCATATCCATGGGAAAAACTGGAGCAAACAAACAATTCTCCAGTTGTACAAATGATGCACCACCCAAGAACACCTGAAAGACAGAACTCACTTCTCACTACTCAAGTGTTTGGGTATGACAAAAGACATGCCCCACCCCCAAGAAAAACAGAGGGCCACATGCCTGGAATAATCAGGGTCCTCATAATGAAAGCAAAAGACTGAAGCTGATCTAAAGTCAAATGAGGCAGGGTCCACCAAACTAATGAGGTCATGATCTTGCACGAAGAACTGAAATTAGTTTGAAGTTGGAAATCTCAGCAAATATGACACATCAGAGGACTCTAACTGTATACATGGATGGAAATCAAGGAAATCCAGCTCAAGAATGTCACAAATGAAGACTCTGGAGAAGAGCACCTGATGTCTGATCAGACAGGAAGGCATCATCAAAAATTAAACGACTGGGGTCAAATACACCCAACCCCACTGTGACAATGAAAGCTCCAAATCCCTGGAGGAATATATTGTTCAACTCTCTCTGGTGGGGCCAAACCCTGGAGGAGGCCGAGCTACACACACAGCTAAACCTGATTGTAAGGACCAAGCAGGACACCTAGACACTCGCCAAAAGAACACAACACCTCAGGATAAACAAGAATATGAAGGGCATCATTGGCACCCATATATATATATATATATATATATATATGTCGTACCTAATAGCCAGAACGCACTTCTCAGCCTACTATTCAAGGCCCGATTTGCCTAATAAGCCAAGTTTTCATGAATTAATGTTTTTTCGTCTACCTAACCTACCTAACCTAACCTAACCTAGCTTTTTTGGCTACCTAACCTAACCTTACCTATAAATATAGGTTAGGTTAGGTTAGGTAGGGTTGGTTAGGTTCGGTCATATATCTACGTTAATTTTAACTCCAATAAAAAAAAATTGACCTCATACATAGCGAAAAGGGTTGCTTTATCATTTCATAAGAAAAAAATTATAGTAAATATATTAATTCAGGAAAACTTGGCTTATTAGGCAAATCGGGCCTTGAATAGTAGGCTGAGAAGTGAGTTCTGGCTACTAGGTACGACATATATATATATATATATATATATATATATATATATATATATATATATATATATATATATATATATATATATAATATGTCGTACCTAGTAGCCAGAATGCACTTCTTGGCCTACTATGCAAGGCCCAATTTGCCTAATAGGCTGAGTGATTTTCTTTATTTTCAATAAATTGTTTCCTATTGGTTTATTTTAAGTATTATTATTATATTATGTTAGGAACATAAATTATTGACTTAGTTGTGTTAGTTAAGGTTAGGTTAAGATAGGTTAGGTTAGGTTAATTAAGTAGGGTTGGTTAGGTTCGGTCAAATATCTACGTTAGTTTTAACTCAAATTAAAAGAACTTAACTCATACATAATGAAATGGATAACTTTATCATTTCATAAGAAAAAAAATCGGAAAATATATAAAATCAGGAAAACTTGGTTTATTAGGCAAATCAGGCCTTGCATAGTAGGCCAAGTACTGTGTTCTGGCTACTAGGTACAACGTACTATATGGGACCAACCCCAGTGCGTTGGAGCGTTGCAAGAGGTGACCTTCAGGAGGCGTTTGCGTCAGTGTGTCTCTTTTCTTGTAGACAATAAAAATGCATTATCATATTATAAACTGTACCTATATATTATTACCCTACTAAAAATACTGTGTTACATTTGTTATTTACCTTATTGTTGGAGTTATGTCCATCTTGAAGTCTCATGGAGTTGTGAATGCTGTACAGTAAATACATACTGTAGTGTATTATACAGTTAACACTGTGTTGATTAAGTAGTTCTGCTGTATGTTGAGTACTACAATATAGTTTATGAAAACTATTGTACACTAAAATTACTGCAACTTTAATTTTAACACTATATACACACTTAAATTTAACACTTGTTCTAGCTGTTCACGCCACACATACGATGTTTTTAGATGTTTGCATCAGCTTTGCTGGTGCTCGCTGCTGCTGTGGGTTCTGTGGCTTCTGAGCTGGTGCTGGCTGCTGTTGTACCAGTGCTGGGTACAACTGTGCTCGTGCTGGGTACGGCTGTTCTTGTGTTGGGTACGGCTGTGCTCGTGCTGGGTACGGCTGTGCTCGTGCTGGGTACGGCTGTGCTCGTGCTGGGTACGGCTGTGCTCGTGCTGGGTACGGCTGTGCTCGTGCTGGGTACGGCTGTGCTCGTGCTGGGTACGGCTGTGCTCGTGCTGGGTACGGCTGTGCTCGTGCTGGGTACGGCTGTGCTCGTGCTGGGTACGGCTGTGCTCGTGCGGGTTGATTTTCGCCTACAAGTTCTTGCAAAATATTGCTTCACTTTTGGCATTAATAAGGCACTATTAATAAGCCCAAGACATTTTGCTGTATAACAATACAGCTGTAGTAAAAAAATGGTAAATTCCACAATTATTCTTCCCAAGAGGTTAAATACTGTACGTCAATCACAGACAAAGCTAAGGGCACTGGGTGCATACTGTACGAATGCAGACTAGGTCTATACGTACACCCTAAAGTAGGCTGGTGTTTAACCCTTAAAGTGCGCATCACTTCATATGAAGTGTAAATCGTTTTACCAGTCAACTGCGCTTCACTTCATATGAAGTGTATGGGTACCGCGCACGATTTGAATGGCCTGTGGTGTAGCTGGGGGTTCCATACGCTGCCCAGGGGCTCTAGTAAACAGCGGCCATTTTGAAAAAAAATCCAGCTCACGCTCCGATGGCATGGGAGGCCTCAGTTTAGCGAGAGTCACCATGGCGAGCGCACGGTCAAACGCCTCACGAGCACGCATCACTCAGTCCCTCACCCCAGAGCAAATAGCCCACGAATTATTCTCTGAAGGTGAAGAAAGTGTGTTTGACGATTCAGACAACGATGAGGATTATACACAGTTGTCGGGAGATAGTAGCAGCAGCAGTGAAAGTGAGAATGACCGCCATGCCATGGCGAGGCCTATACGCTCTCCCATGCCTCCTCGCCCATTTTCTACCCCAATTCTACCACGACCTCACAGTTCCTGTGGATATTTTCTGTTTGAGGGTGACGAGTCAGAGGGAGGTGACTCCTTTTCTGGGTTTAGTGACTCAGATCAAAGTTTTATTGAGCCTGTGGCTGGTACCAGTGGTGTAACTGGGCGAGAAATTGTCGCGTCAGCAGCATCTCGCCCAGCCAAGCGCCACCGCATAGCACCA